CGATCGGGATCGCGATCTGCGGCAGCAATTCGGCGGGAGGTCCTTCGCTCCAAGCAGGAGTGAGGCACCATCCGCCGAACTGCCGCCAAACAGCTGGACGTGCCACCCCTCTCAGAAGTGGCCGCCCCAAGCACCTGCTTGGTAAGCTGGTGCCTGGAGCCGGCCCTGAGAGGGACTCAGCCTGCAGAGAGGTGGACAGACCTCTCATCCTCAGCTCCCAGAAAGGAGCACAGCAGAGAGTCAAGTTACCTTTGTTTGCCTGCGATCTCAGAGCGATAGGACAGACGGCCAGGATCCTGACAGGAAAGAGAAGCTGATGCTGCTCTTTATTCCTGTTAATTTAGTTGCATTTCCTTTATTGCTTTGGAGGACTGGAACTAAGAGTTTAACCCTGGGGCCGGGCCCACACTGCATTGAGAATACGAGTTCCCTGTGGAGATGGCAAGCCAATGTGGGAAGTAGCCCAGGGAACAAGCAACAGATCTGACCAGACAGACCTTAACTGCTTGTTACAAGGGTCCCTGGACTGGAACCCTGAGCAGAGGGAGGGACAGGGCTCCTCTATAGCCTCACTGGGAAGATTAGTGGGAAGTCCTCAGACAGAGGGCCGGGAGGATTTTTGGGCCTGGATATGGACAGTCAATCTGTTGTGAGGTCCTGGGACTCTTGGGAGACAACAGTGGTTTACCCAGAAGCGGGTGAGGCAAAAAATGACCTGGCCAGAGGGCCAAGGCAAAAGGGGACCATTAGCAGTCCTGGTTAGCAAGACTACAGAGAAAAAGCCCCACAATGCTCCACCTAGCTACAAGACAGCATATCAGACCTAGTAAATCACATTGTCACAGCAGTTTCAGGGGAGAGTGAAGAACCACAACATGGTATCCAACAAATTGCAACATGGTGTCCAGTGATAATGGCACCTATGAAAATTACTCTCCCCTCTCAAAGAATGAGGCAACTGCTAACATGAGGGACTCCACAAGTAATATATAACTAGCTTGTACACTGAATACCCTCTAAAAATGCCACAAAACTTTGCATGAAGAATGAACCACTCAAATCATGCAACTATTCCAGAATAACTTACATTCTTCAATTGAATGGCTCATGAAAAATGGTGAGAAAAGCAGGATTTCTATTTGTTTTATTTCATAAAACACCACTTTTAAAATCAGTGCCTATTTAACTTCTCTGAAATAGTACAATAGGATGTTAACAGAAGCAATCAATAGTCAAGACCTTTTAAAAAGAGATAGAACAATGCACGCTGAGGAGTGAAATCAAATTCACAATATATTCAATGCTTAATTCCACATTTTTTTTCTAGACAGCTCTCTGAAGCTATGCTCTCTTTTTAAAGCATGAAAAGGAAATTTATCTGCATTTACCTCAAGTATTTTATCCCCAGTTTTTAGGGCTTTTGTTCTTCCAGCTGGGCTGTCTTCCAAGACTTGTTTGATAAAGATACCTTTAAGTTCCTCTCCATTCTTTAGGCGCTTTATAATAGTTTGCCCACCAACAATACTGATTCCAAGAGACATGTGAGGCTCTCTGAAGATTTCAACACTGTAAAATGCAAGCAGTACCATATAATTTTATAACTATTAACAGATTTAAATATATAATATTTAATATTCCAAAAATCTATAACATAGTTTTTCAGGTTTCATCAATTTACTAGCAATAATCTTTAAAAGAAGCACCTGTTGCTAGTCCAGGTGAGCTCATCAGTGAACAAATATAACAACAAAACTCTGCCACCAAACCAACTTGCTTCCCCTCCTATGACCTTTCCCTTCAGAGAAAGTCTGTGTAAAAAATAGGTACCGAGATAAACACAGTTGAGTTCTATCACTCAAATCAAATTCTAGAGTGGTGGGCTCCTACTGAGGACAGCTTGAACCAACCTGGCGATACTAATTTGTTAATATTAAGTGTTTCAATACAGAAAACGTCAATTGATATTCAGGTTGCTGAACATACTAGTGAGAGGTCAAAAAGGATTCCTGAAAATATCTTAAAGTTGTTTGCCATGTATCAGAGGTCATATATAATAGGCTCCTACTTGAGCTGAAGTTTTAGGTTTGTATTATGCCTAACCCTGAATCACACCTTTTTACATGACCTTTGTACTGCAGGCAGCCAATGTGTTTAAGAAGATACAAAAATGAAGCTAAAGTAACCAATTCTTTCTGTAAGAGAAAACTCATCTGATCAAATGGCATATAAATTTATCTGGATGGCAGTTATCTTTCTCAAGGTAAATATTAACGTATTCACAATTTCCACTGTATTTCAATGTCAGAAATAAAATAAACTGTTCTGATAATAAAAGTGTTGTCATGCAACAACATTATGCAAATAGTTCAGAATTACACAATACTGTCAATTGTATTTTAAATTGCTTTATCTCTGTTTCCACACTCCCTCTTCAAACTTGTCTCTCAAAACAAAGTGAAATAACTTTGACAAGGCCTCCTTAACTGACAGATGGCCTTTGTTTTGTGAAAGATATCTAACATACACAGACTGGACAGAGAGATATCAAAGGAATTATTTCACTTTGCTATCTAGTATGTAGATTAGACATATTTTTCGGTAGTTTGAAATTCAAACACTATTGGACCAAATTTTATATTAATTCAGAGTTATGCCACTAAGGCCTGGTCCACACTAACCCCACACTTCGAACTAAGATACGCAACTTCAGCTACGTTAATAACGTAGCTGAAGTCAAGTACCTTAGTTCGAACTTACCGCAGGTCCAGACGCGGCAGGCAGGCTCCCCCGTCGACTCCACGTACTCCTCTTGCGGAGCAGGAGTACCGGCGTCGACGGCGAGCACTTCCAGGATCGATCCGGGATCGATTTATCGCATTTAGACAAGACGCGATAAATCGATCCCAGAAGATCGACTGCTTACCGCCGGACCCGGAGGTAAGTATAGACGTACCCTAAGATTAGCAGAGTAACCCATGTACTTGACAGCAGAATTCTGATGTGTAACATTTCAAACCAGTAGCGAAGAGGTGAACGAGAACTTTCAGCTCAACTGCAACACAAAGCTGGCAGCTTTCTAAAATTAGTCGTATACACAGAATATATAAACCTTCTCCACTGAACATCTGTTAGCGTTTACAGTATTTAATAAAGCCCAGAGCATCTAACTACCTTAACGCTATTCTAGAGCACTCTAAAATAAAAGGCCATGAAAACAGTCACACATGTGTAAGAAAAGCTACAGTAAGGAGTGTAATAACTCCTGGAGCCCCCAAGGCGTCAAATGTTTCCTAAGCAAAAAGAAAGAATGTAATTATATCAACATACATTCGGGATGGTCCCCAATGACTGAAGTTTGGAGTTTCTTCTCCTTCTCCTTCTTCTCGTTCAGGTAATTCACTAATTGGGAAAAAAAAAAAAACATGTTCCATTCCACACATACTCACACAGGCGTTGACACTTCTGCCATAGCACATAATACATTCTAGCATATTCATGTTTAAATCAAAAATGCTATATAGGAGACTAGATACCCCTACTTTTATTTATATATATATATATATATTAAGGTTCAAACACAGTTAAGGTTGCGACATAAGCCAGATAAGATGGGGGGAAAGCAAATTTAAAAACTTTTATGTATTAAACTTGTGCATCTTATTACTGGTTCTACAGGTCTCTCTAGGCAATAAACATTTGCTAATATGCTATCAATGACATGAATTGTGCACTGCAAGCCACAGAAGGCAGTCTAGTCTACTGGCAAGTCAAACTCTTCCTAAAGCCAAATGAGAGGTAATGTGAGCAGATCCTGAGCATGCCATTCTGTCCCCGAGACCGGGATGTTAATTATATTGCTATACCACATGTGATTTATCTATTCAAAGAATAGCCCAGGCTTCCCCAACAGGAGACTCCACTTGCATGTCCCCACTAGAAAGCAGCACTGGTAGATGCTCCCACAGAACGAGAGCCCTCTCCACACATTCTCTGCAGGCGCAGAGGGTCCAAACTGCCAGTTACACTACAAAAGGGGAGCAGAATGGTGAAAGGTGGGGCAAAGACTCCACATCGCCACATGCATTGCAGCAGATTTCATTGCGACACCTCAGAGGGAAGGTTAGAGGCAGGGCCGGCTCCAGGGTTTTGGCCGCCCCAAGCAGCCCCCAAAAAAGCCGCGATCGCGATCTGCAGCGGCAATTCGGCGGGAGGTCCTTCGCTCCAAGCGGGAGTGAGGGACCGTCCGCCGAATTGCCGTTGAATACTTGGACGTGCCGCCCCAAGCACCTGCTTGCCGGGCTGGTGCCTGGAGCCGGCCCTGGTTAGAGGCAGGTCAGGGAAAGGCTGAAGACATGATCAACAGGTCTGATGAGACAGATTCACTGGCCAAAACCTCTACCAAGGGAAAGTGCAGGGGCTGTAGCCAAGGTGATACAGTTCTGTTAGTGTTCTGCAGCCTGGGTGGTGAGGGTTCAGGCCATTTGGTTACTGCAGAGATCATCTGCAAAATTCAGTTTATTCTAGCTTTTGCCAGGGTCAAAGATTTGACTTCTATGGATTAAAGTTACATTTAGTTCATCAAAACTTTCTGCTCTACTAATCAGCTAACTTAAAGCAAGAGGAAAATAGAAAAGAGCTAAGTGTAAATCATGTACTTCCTCCATACCTGGACAACACTGCTGCAGGCTGAGCAGGAGTGACAGCTCTCCCAGTTTCCTGGTTCCTGGAAAGAATGTAATCCTCCATCTTTTGTTCATCCCTTTCAGCTGCTTCAAGGTCAACTAACCTACGTCTTTTTGAGTCGTTCTGAAGCCTCGTACCTGAATGGTAAAATAGCTAGATGTAAATGTCTCTATATCTATTGTCCTTTTGACTATTAACAGTGTCTAGAAACTACTATACTTGGAAGCATACTTCTCAACCAACCAAGGCCCAAATGTGAGATGTAATGTGTGACTTGAATCATAGAAACGTAGGGCTGGAAGGGACCTGGAGAGACCATCAAATCCAGCCTCCCAGCATTTAGGCAGGACCAAGTAAACCTGCAACATCCCTGACGGGTGTTTTTCTAACCTGTTCTTAAAAACCTCCAATGATGGGAATTCCACGACATCCCTTGGAAGCCTCTTCCAGAGTTTAATTACCCTTTATAATTCAAAAGTTTTTCCTAATATCTAACCTAATCTCCCTTGATGCAGATTAAGCCCATTACTTCTTCTCCTACCTTCAGTGGACATAAAGAACAACTGATCACTGTTCTCTTTATAATAGCCCTTAGCATATTTGAAAGCTATCATCAGGTCCCACTTCAATCTTCTTTTCTCAAGGCTAAACATGCCTAGTTATTTTAACCTTTCCTCACCGGTCAGGTTTTGTAAACCTTTTACCCCACACCTTTTTTTTTTTTTTTTTTTAAACTTTCCTCTTGACTCTCTCCAATTTATTCACATCTTTCCAAAAGTATGGCACCCAAAATTGGACACAGAATTCCAGCTGATGCCTCCTCAGTGACGAGTGAAGTGGGACAATTACCCTGTGCCTTATATATGACACTCCTGTTAAGAATAATATCCTTTTTTCACAACTGCATCACATTGTTGGCTCATATTCAAATTGTGATCCACTAGAACCCTCAGATCCTGTTCAGCAATACTACTGCCTAGCCAGTTATTCTCCATTTTGTAGATGTGCATTTGATTTTTCCTTCTTAAGTGAAGTACTTTGCACTTGCCTTTATTGAATATCATCTTGTTAATTTCAGAACAATTCTCTAATTTGTCCCCATAGTTTTGAATGCTAATCCTGTCCTCAAAAGTGCTTGCAACCACTCCTGGTTTAGCATCATCACAAGCTTTATAAGAATAATCTCGCCTCCATTATCCAAGTCACTAATGAAAATACTGAATTAATACCAGGCCCAGGACTGTCCGCTGTCTGACCCCACTAAATATGCCCTCCCAGTTTGATAGCCAATCATTAATAACTACTCTAAGTATGGTCTTTCCATCCGTTGTGCACCACCTACAGCAATTTCATCTGGATGATGTTTCCCTAGTTTGTTTATGAGACTATCACGTGGAAATGTGTCAAAAGCCTTATTAAAATCAAGATATAGCATATCTACAGCTCCCCCCTTATCCACTAGGCCAGTAACCTTGTCAAAGAAGGAAATTAGGTTGGTTTCGCATGATTTGTTCTTAACAAATTCACAATGGCTATTCCTTATAATCCTATTATCCTCTAGATCAGTGGTTCCCAAACTTGTTCCGCCGCTTGTGCAGGGAAAGCCCCTGGCGGGCCGGGCTTACCTGCCACGTCCGCAGTTTCGGCTGATCGCAGCTCCCAGTGGCCACGGTTCGCTGCTCCAGGCCAATGGGAGCTGCTTGAAGTGGCGCGGGCTGAGGGACGTACTGGCCGCCACTTCCAGCAGCTCCCATTGGCCTGGAGCAGCAAACCGGAGCCACTGGGAGCCGCGATCGGCCAAACCTGCAGACGCGGCAGGTAAACAAACCGGCCCAGCCCGCCAGGGGCTTTCCTTGCACAAGTGGCGGAACAAGTTTGGGAACCACGGATCTAGATGCATACAAATTGACGATTAAATAATTTGTTCCAGTATTTTTCCAGGTATCAAAGTTAGGCTGACTGGTCTATAACAACTCCCTGGGTCCTCTTTGTTCTATTTTTAAAGACCAATACTATCTTTGCCCTTCTTCAGCCCTCTGGGACCTCACCCATCTCCTGGAGTTCTCGAAGATAATTGCTAACGGTTGAAAGATTGCTTCAGATATTTCCTTAAGTACCCTGAATTTCATCAGGCCTGCTGACTTGAATACATTAACTTATCTAAATATTCTTTAACTAAGACTCAAAGAGGGACACAGAACAACCATTCATGAAGAAAACTTAAAATGCTGCTGGGGACTCACTCCTGCTGCATAAATAATATAATCTCAGTTCAGCAATTCTGCATTTCTGGTGTAAATAATTTTCAGAGACAACAGAGAATGCTAGAGGACTGAAATGAGAGATGCTCCTTGTAATATGATACACTGAGAAGTGTGCTTAGAAATAGCAAATACAGGCCTCCATCCTACAAAGAGATCTGTGCAGACAGATGCCTGTGCCTGCCTGGAATCCGACTGAAATCAAGGGAGAGGTCATTCATTTTTCATTCCATAGGCTCTGTGTAAGAGCAAGAGTCTGTCCACACAGTTCTCTCTGCTGGAAAGAGGGGGGTGGCATAACAAAAACAAAACAAAAAATCAATCTCCCTCACCCAGCCACTGAGTGTTTTCCCAGACTGACCAATAAATTACTTCCACTGAGAGTAGACAGAACAGTATTTTACCATCAATTTTAAGGAAAATCATGATTTTGGCCTTGCAGAGACAACACAAATCATGGAATAGTGGTGAAAATAATTCAATGTCACCAGCCCAGTCCCAAAGATTAAATTATTAAGAAAATGCTATTTAAATGCTTTTTTAGGGAGCACCTTGAGCTTTTCAGGGTGTTCACTACTACCCTTGTCCTGACATGGTGGCATAATGGGAACTGCCTGTAAAATATTAAGCCCTACCAGAGGTGTCCATCACATTGTTATAATTTACCCTTCTGTTCATTCATCATCTAAAGAGAGCACCAACTGGTCCTTGATTAGGGAACTCCACCCATATAGGGAATCATAGGAGTGGAAGAGACCTCTTGAGGGCATCTAGTCCAGACCCCTGTACTCATGGCAGGACTAAGTATTATCTAGACCATCCTTGACAAGTGTTTATCTAACCTGCTCTTAAAAATCTCCAATGATGGAGATTCCACAACCTCACTGTGCAATTTATTCCAGTGCTTAACCACCCTCACAGTTAGGAAGTTTTTCTGAATGTCCAACTTAAACCGCCCTTGCTACAATTTAAGCTTCTTGTCCTATCCTCATTGGTTAAGGAGAACATTTTTTTCTCCTTCCTCCTTGTAATAACCTTTCATGTACTTGAAAACTGTTATCGTGTCCCCTCTTAGTCTTCTCTTCTTCAGACTAAACAAACCCAATTTTTTCAACCTTCCCTTATAGGTCATGTTTTCTAGACCTTTAATCATTTTTGTTGCTTTACTCTGGACTCTCTCCAAATTTGTCCACATCTTTCCTGAAATGTGGCCTCCAGAACTGGCCACAATACTCCAGCTGAGTCTAATCAGCACAGAGTAGAGCAGAAGAATTTCTTCTTGTGTCTTGCTTACAACACTCCTACTAATACATCCCAAATTGATGTTGATTTTTTTGCAACAGTGTACTGTTCACTCATATTTAGTTTGTGATCCATTATGACCCCAGTATTCCTTCCTAGACAATCATTTCCCATTTTGTATGTGTGCAACTGACTGTTCCTTCCTAAGTGGAGTACTTTGCATTTGTCCTTATTGAAATTCATCCTATTTACTTCAGACCATTTCTCCAGTTTGCCCAGATCATTTTGAATTTTAATCCTATCCTCCAAAGCATTCGCGACCTCTGCCAGTTTGGTGGTGTTCGCAAACTTTAGAAGTGTACTCTCTATGCCAGGGGTTCTCAAACTTCATTGCACCACAACCCCCATCTGGCAACAAAATTACTTTATGACCCGGGGGGGGGGGGGGAAGGCTGCTCTGCCCAAGCCCCACCGCCCCAGGGAAGGGGAGTGGGGCAGAGCCCAAGCCCCGTCGCCCCGGGTGGGGATGGAACTCCGGCTTCAGCTTGAGCCCTGGGTCCCAGAAAGTCTAATGGTGGCCCTGGTGACCCCACTGAAATGAGGTTGCAACCCACTTTGGGGTCCCGACCCACTGTTTGAGAACCGCTGCTCTATGCCATTATCTAAATCATTGATGAAGATATTGAACCGAACCGGATGCCGAACTCATCTCTGTGGGACCCCACTCAATATGCCATTCCAGCTTGACTGTGAACCGATAACTACTCTCTGGGAACGGTTTTCGAACCAGTTATGCACCCACCTTATAGTAGCTCCATCTAGGTTGTGTTTGTTTATGAGAAGGTCATGCGAGACAGTATCCGAAGCCTTACTAAAGTCAAGATATACCACATCTAGCACTTCCCCCCATCCACAGGGCTTGTTACCCTGTCAAAAATAGTTATCAGGTTGGTTTGACATGATTTGTTCTTGACAAATCCATGCTGACTGTTACTTATCACCTTATTATCTTCTAGGTGTTTTCAAATTGATTGCTTAAATTAATTGCTCCATTATCTTTCCAGGTACTGAAGTTAAGCTGACTGGACTGTAATTATCCAGGTTGTCCTTATTTCCCTTTTTTACATATGGGCACTATGTTTGCCCTTTTCCGGTCCTCTGGAATCTCTCCCATCTTCCATGACTTTTCAAAGATAATCGCTAACGGCTCAGATATCTCCTCAGTCAGCTCCTTCAGTACTCTAGAATGTATTTCATCAGGTCCTGGTGACTTGAAGACATCTAACTCATCTAAGTAATTTTTAACTTGTTCTTTCCCTATTTTAGCCTCTGATCCCATCTCATTTTCACTGGCATTCGCTATGTTAGACATCAATTCGCTACTAACCTTTTTGGGGGAGGGGGAGGCGCAGGTCATTTAGCACGTCTGCCATTTCCACATTTTCTGTTATTGTCTTCCCTCTCTCATTGAGTAATCAGCCTACCTTGTCCTTGGTCTTCCTCTTGCTTCTAATGTATTTGTAGAATACTTCTTGTTACTCTTTATGTTTCTAGATAGTCTCATTTTGTGCCTTGGCTTTTCTAATTTTGTCCTGACATACTTGTGTTATTTGTTTATATTCATTCTTTGTAATTAGACCTAGTTTCCACTTTTGTAGGACTCTTTTTTTGAGTTTCAGATCACTGAAGGTCTCCTGGTTAAGCCAGGGTGGTCTCTGGCCATACTTCCCATCTTTCCTATGCTCTTGTACCCTTAATAATGTCTCTTTGAAAAACTACCAACTCTCTTGAACTGTTTTTCCCCTTAGACTTGCTTTCCATGGTATGTTACCTACCAACTCCCTGAGTTGGCTAAAGCCTGCCTTCTTAAAATCCATTATCTTTATTGTGCTGTTTTCCCTCCTACCATTCCTTAGAAATATGAGCGCTAGCATTTCATGATCATTTTCACCTAAGCTGCCTTCCACTTTCAAATTCTCAACCAGTTCCTCCCAAACTTGCTCCCCTGGTCAAGGTCAGATTTGCAGACCAGAGCATTTGAGGACACTCCAGAAGTCTGAAGATCAGCAGACGCCCATCTAGGACTACATTCAGAAGATAAGAGAAACCAAAGGGAACACGTAGGCTAGGCAGGGTGGTGATCACATCATGAGCTGCAGCTTTCTGAGCTGGATACCTACTGCAGAACTGGTGAACTTTGCATTTTGTGTGTTACATACAGGTCCACTGTTGGCATGCCCCAATGACTGGAGATCAGGTGGACGATGTCCTCCTTCAGGGACCACACTCTAGGGAACATCTTGGATCTACTACACCTGCCAGCTTTAAAGTTTGGGGCTCAAACTGAGAGCAAGGTCTACTCTGTCCATCCAAACACTGAGTGTGAGATTGCACAAATATGATAGACAGCACCCCATCATAAATTGTTAATGCCTCTTATTGATTCCAATATTGCCAAATATAGGTTAACAAAAATAAAAATAAAAACTGAATAAAGATTTACTTGCAGTAAAATTTGCTTCATTTTTGAGGTTCTACCATCATTTTTTTTTAAAAAGTATTACCTTAATAAAAAAAAAAAAAAATAGTAGTGAAGGTCCTTCACAACCAACAATGGAAACTGATTTAGGGCCCAATCCTGCAAACACTTACGGAGTATAAGTAGTTCCAATGGAGTCCTTACTATATAGGGGAAACTGACAACACAAGAGTCAAATGCACACAGCAGACATGCTAAAAACAACAATTGAGAAACATAGCATTATTTTCTCTGGTCTCTTTCAGCTGCAGTCACTAAGTGTTACTTGTAACAATAAGTAGGTAAATATTTTCAGAGACACATGGGATTTTGAAGTTGGAGGAGGTCCTTTTTAAGGAAGGCATCAAAGCCAGACCATCATCTTAAGTGAGTATGATTCATACTGTGGATACTACCTCGTTTGAAAGATATGAACAAAACTGTATTGCAAAATGAAAGTTAATTTTGTAAATGAGATTAATGCATTAAAAAAAAGCCTTTTACAAACCTAAATCCAGTTTGCTTTTTGCTACTGACTCAGTCATTTCAATATCATCAAATATGGCTGTTTGGCAGTTGTTCTCCACTGTGGCTTCATACTTCATGGGGGAGAAAAGAGATGTTAAAAATTAGACAGCATTGGCATTGCCCCATATAGCAGTATTTGACATAAACATTGATTTTACAGCAAACGTTCACATTTTTGTAACTTGCTTTAATTTTTTTTTGGATAATTATGAAATTAATTGCTCATTTAGGCAACATCAATGAGTGTGAACAATGTCAGGTGTGATTAAAATATAAAATGAACTTCATACTATCTACCTGTTTTGCAACCCAGAGAGGAAGCAAGGGGTTTTTCACCTGACACTTATGTGGAATAACAACAGTTTTAGATCAATATCACATTCATCAGAAGCTGCATTTTGGCATCTTTATATAGAGAGCACAGGACTACAAGAGATGAAAGACCTGACCTTGTATTCCCCGCTAAAACCTCTGTGGCCCTAAACAAGTCACTTAACATTTCTGCCTCAATTTCTTCATCTGGAAACTGAGGGTAAAATTGATTTGCATTGGCAAACTAGGTGCACGGAAAACCAGTTTAGTTACTTTCTTTTCTGGGGGATGCAGGAACAGAAAGCAAACTCAGAGGGGAAAGAAATTCTCAGAGTAGCAGAGGATGCAAAATTTTCATTCACACATTGAGCCTTATGCGGTCTCCCTCCCTCCTCTCCCCTCCCCAGTATTATCTGTCTGTCACAATCTCTTTCCCCTCATCATTTCCTGATGTACTGCTCCACTCAGTGTCTTACAGACCAGCTGCCCTCAGTGGAACTGACAAACATCCAGATCTCTAAGGCTTGTCTTCATTTCCGCATTAGCTCAAGTTATCAGTTATCTTCTCTCGAGCTAGAGTAGCTTAAGTAACAGCAGTTCCACTGCAAAATAATTGAGCAGCACAGAGGGATTGGATTAGCAGCACACAGTAGTCCCCACTGCTCTACTAGCTCCAGCATCAGCGGTACGTGAGCCTCAACCCATGCCCCTGACAGGCTGGCAAGCTTGAATTTAAAGCACCACTGAACTCGAGCTAGAGATGTGTGTGCATGAACAGCAGCTGGGTTAGGGGCAACGCTCGAGTTATAGCTTGAGCTAACAATGCAGCACAGGCAGCCCTCAAAACATTCTGCACTGGTGCGATAAGCCATCAGGATGACAGTCAGTTTCACTGACGTGCCGCAGCACTGCAGAAAAACAAGAGACAGAAGTTAGAAGATGGCAAAGAGAGCTTTGAATCTCCCTGTGCGCCAATAAGAGATGATGGAAGACACACCTGCCAAGTTATATTAAAGATGAAGATAGAAGGGTCACAAAGGGAGCCATCATTAGTTCTGCAGCGTTAACAACATAGCAAATTATTTGCCAAATGGCGATCAAAATTCAGCAAGGAAATACATTTTAGTTCTGGGATTTTAAGAATGCGTTATGTGCAAGAGAATAATGTCCATTGGTATCTACTCGATGTACTGAGAGATCTTGTCTAAATTATGTCAAAATCCACCTAACCATAAAAAACAAGAGTATAAAAATCATGATCGAAAACAGGTCCAAATCCTGCATCAGTATCTGCTAGCTCGTCTCCTACCAACTTCACTAGGACTCTGTACAGTTACAAGGGAGCCATACTAGCTGATCCTGATGCAGGATTGAAACCCAGGGTAACATTTCTTACCGTTTCTTCATCATCATACAGGTAATGTGGGGACTGCTTAGCATTTGTGCTAATAAGGGATCTTAAATCTGGTGTTTTAGTTGGCTCAAGTTGCTTCGCCCATTCTCCAATAGAAACCAGGTTCTTCCCAGCAGGTGGAGTTGTGTCCTCTACATGTGATGAGGCATATGTAAAATAATCCGGGTCCACATCATACTCTTCATCCACTAACATTTCCCGCTCTTCACCCATTTCCTCCATTTTAGCCTTAAGGAATTCATGCATTTCCCAGGACTCCTTATGTTCTGTTTCATTCTGAGCTAGCTGAAATGGTCTTCCCAAATCCAGAAGTGGTTCATCGACAAGTTCTTCTTGAAAGAATGTTTCATCTCTAAAACCCTGCATAAAACATTACAGAGTATAGATTTGACATCATGTTTCCTGCAAGCTCTCTTACAGTTGTGTTTTATGTCAGGCACATTTTAAAATTACAACCACCGTTCTGTTTTTTAAATGAGTATCCGTTAGGTTTTATGTTTTAGTAGAAGCAGCTAAACTGGAACTTTGAAACTTGCCCTGATTTACCATTTTTATGAATATAGATATGACTTTAAAAACAATAAAAGAAATGAAAGTTGGGAGCTGCTCAGCTATTCCTGGAACTATAGGAAAAAGCAAGTCTGGGTGGAAGCTGGGGAATGGGAATTGTTAGACAGTATTTTTTAAGAGCTGCAGGGAAAAGCCTAAATAAATCTAACAAAACATTCTGAGGATTTATCTGCCATCCCACTATGCAAACATGTACATTATCCCCATCAGTTTAAACAGGAAGGCATCCCTGGCTTATTCCACACAATCCTTTAATTAAAAGGTCAACATCTCACCCTGCAGAGTCAGATCAATCCACTCATCTCACAGCTGAAATACTAATCCAAGAAAGGGTGCCTGCCATTACCCTTTTTAGAGCTGCTTTCTTTGAAGTGTGCCAACTTGACACAATAGCGATTAGGCAAATTGGTGGGCTGAGGCAATAACTAACACTGGTGAGTGACAGACCAGTTTTGGTGGTGGGGGGGGGTTTAAAAAAAAAAAAAACTATTTTACACACACTAGGTTCATTATAAGCAGTGACAGCTAGAGACGTGTTACAGGAGAATTTGACACTCTAGGGCCAGATTCCAATCCCTTTACTGCTATTAAGTAGTATATTACTCCATGAGAAACCCACTGAAGTCAAAATATGAAGTAAGGTGCTTCTGTATCAAAGTGAAGGTATCAAACTCCAGCCCCTCATGTCCCTGAAGTCTGTGGCAGAGCTGGGACTCCCAGATCCTAGGCTAGCACCCCAACCCTAGGACAACAGACTGCCTTTTTCTAAAGAAATCCTGCTTACATACCATTCTTTTTTTCTTGAATCAACAATTGATTGTTATTAGCAGTAGATCTAACATTCTTACTTCATTAGCAGTAGATCTAACATTCTTACTTCATATCACCTTTCATATTCAAGGTAAGACAATGCATCTTAATGCAACGGGTTAGTAAATAAGGTAGCCCAGTATCTCTGTAAGCAAGGTGTCACATACACATTCAGCATTAGCTCACAAAGAGCCTTGAATCTTGGGATTTGTTTTAGAGAGGGATTGTTTACCAGAATACAAGGCTCATCCCAGACTCATGTTTTCCCACCAGTCAGAATGAACCTTGGATTGACATCTCTTCTGAAGGACACTTGTTTTTGGGAGGTGAAAGGGGGCTTTTAGAACCTCATTTCCTTCTTCTCTCTTTTAAATAGAATGAAACAGCAGCCAAATACCTGTGGTGCCTCGAGCATTATTGATGAATGAATATCATTTATTGGTGCTGGAGATGCAGAGTGGTCTTCAATGGTGCTGGGATCCACAATGCAAAAGTTCTCCTCCTCTTTGCTTTCTCCCTATAAAGGCAATTGAAACATACATCAGCATTAAAAACACCGTCAGGAAAGAAAAAAAGCCCCAAATTCTTAAAATAAAATAAAAAGGTGGGGCTGCTGGGGAAGTGACCGTGGAGAAAGAGAGAATGAGGAAGGGGAAGGAGAACAGAATTTGTTTTACTATAAATTGAAAGGATAAAAAGATGGGTTTACATAAAAAATAAAGTAAAAAAGTAGGGCTGTCAAGCAATTAAAAATTAATTGCACGATTAAAAAAATAATTGTGATTAATTGCATGATTAATCGCACTGTTAAACAATAATAGAATACCATTTATTTAAATATTTTTGGATGTTTTCTACATTTTTCAAATATATTGATTTCAATACAACACAGAATACAAAGTGTACAGTGCTCACTTTATATTTTATTACAAATATTTGCACTGTCAATAACAAAAGAAATAGCATTTTTCAATTCACCTCATATGAATACTGTAGAGCAATCTCTTTATCATGAAAGTTGAACTTACAAATGTAGAATTATGTTCAAAAAATAACTGCACTCAAAAATAAAACAATGTAAAACTTTAGTGCCTACAAGTCCACTCAGTCCTATTTCTTGTTCAGCCAATCACTCAGACAAATAAGTTTGTTTACATTTGCAGGAGGTAATGCTGCCCACTTCTTGTTTACAATGTCACCCGAAAGTGAGAACAGGCGTTCGCATCAAACTGGTTTGTCTTAGTGATTGGCTGAACAAGAAGTAGGACTGAGTGGATTTGTAGCCTTAAAGTTTTACATTGTTTTGGTTTTGAGTGCAGTTATGTAACAAACAAACAAAATCTATGTTTGTAAGTTGCACTTTCACGATAAAGAAATTGCACTACAGTACTTGTATGAGGTGAATTGAAAAACACTATTTTTTGTTTGTCATTTTTACAAGTGCAAATATTTGTAATAAAAATAATAATATAAAGTCAACACTGTACACTTTGTATTCTGTGTTGTAATTGAAATCAATATATTTGAAATGTAGAAAAACATCCAAAATATTTAATAAATTTCAATTGGTATTCTATTGTTTAACAGTGCAATTACAACTGATTAATCGCGATTAATTTGAGTTAATTGCATGAGTTAACTGCCATTAGTTGACAGCCCTAAAAAGAGACAAAGGTGAAAGAAGCTAAATAAGGATATGGGCAAGTATATACTTTTTTTTTTTTTTTTTTTTAAGGAAAGAATCCAAAAGTCTTGTTACATTACTCTTTCAGTGCTTCTTTGTTTGTTTATACTGCAAGCACTTCATGGCCTCGGGTCTTATTATATGGCGCTACACAAATAAACTTAATTAATGAACAATGAAACAGTGTTCTCAAGTCTGCTGTATGGTCCCGAATCCAAAAAGTATCCCTATTCAGGACAGTACTTATGTTCTTGACTTCAAACACATGCTTAAGTCCTACTGATTGGGGCTTAAGCACATATTTCAAGTTAAGCGTTTGCTTCGGTGATGTCTTGAATAGGGACAGACTTAAACAACGTGCTTTGTTGAATTGGGGACTATGCTCACGTTACATCCGTACGTGTCACTGTTGTGACAACATAGAATAAATTAAAAATCAATCCTTACCACCAAAGGCTTGCAGATGCCAAGGCGAATAGTACCTGGGGGCACAGATTTCAACACTTCTACCGCCTCTGCTAGAGTGGCATTGTCCAAATATTTCTCATTTACAAAAACCAGGCGGTCGCCTGGTAACAGTTCACCCCCGCGTTCGGCTACTCCACCCGCTACCAGAGAGCTGATCACAATGGCCGTTCTTGTTGGATCTAGGGGATCCTGAAAAAGCAGCCCCAACAAAACCCAATAAATGCGTTGTGTTATTTATTTTGAATGTACAAAAGAATAACTAATCTTATGCTGTGGGGCTATCCCATAGGTTAGAAACACACACAACAAAAGGACGGTCCATGAATATAACCACCCTAACAGCCTGAAAGACAGAGAGAGGGGGAAAATGGGCCATGCTCAGAAGATTAACAAATCCAGGCTCTGGAGCAGGCTGATTTATGCCTTCCTAAAGCAGCTCTCTCAAGTGGAGAAGGGGACAGGCCAAGCTGCAGATGGAAAAGCAGCGCTGGCTCCTTCACAACCCCTCCAATCCACCCTATTATGACCAAAAGCCAGACAATATCCATGCACGTGATTTTCAAGGCTTCATGTCAACAAAAGTTACATTAAAAAAAATCCTTACAATTTACAGAAGTGTTCAGGATTTAGCAGTTACATTTGCTCAGATTACACTGCTCTACAGCCAAAATGCTTCTGAAATAAATGTAGTCAAACTTTACTAATTCTGGGTCACTGAGAACGAAAACGATGCTTAAAATTGTTGATTGGCTCTAGTTTTCAAGATATGCTATTGGGTCAGTATATACGACCCTTGACTTGGGAATGGCAGAGGATAAGTGAGTTATAAAGGGAAGGGATCTCAATTTAAACCAGAAATGACTAAAATACATCTTTGACTGGATCTATGAATAAATCTATGACTGGGTTTGGACAGTACTTGCTTTTTAGGCAAAACAATGAATGATGCAATCTGAAGCTGGTATTGCGTCATACATGATATGAATTGCATCATGTTATTCCTAGAAGTCATGGATGATGCAATCATAACGAAACTTACATCACTCTGCTGAACAAATTGCCCTATATCAGTTCTAGAAATCATACAGTGTCGTGCTCTCTTATTTGTCAGTGTTTGATTTTGCAAAGGGACACATTTCTGTTTAGCCAAAGTGAGCAGAGATGCCTCGTACTTGTGTGAACAGTGCAGATAACTTCTGCTATGTTTATGGTGAAGTGACTTTTGCATCACAAAAGCGCAGTATAACCACTATGGTTAAGAAAGCCTATCACCTTTATTTTGGCTGCAAAATTGGAGATCAGGACAAGAGGTGGGCCCCACACATATTCTGCAACACTTGTGCAACAAATCTTCGCCAGTGGTTGAACAGGAAAAGGAAATCTATGCCTTTTGCAGTGCCAATGATTTGGAGAGAGCCAACAGATCATACCAGCAATTGTTACTTCTTCATGGTGCCTCCAGTTGGGAAAGGTGTGTCAAAGAAGAATAAGTGGACTGTGCATTATCCAAACATTCCATCAGCTATACGCCCAGTACCCCACGGAGAAGGACTGCCGGTTCCTGATGCACCAGAATCATTCTCACTTGAGTCAGACGAGGAAGAGGAAGAGGATGAAACTTCTGGTCCTGAACCATCAATGTCACAGGACCCACATTTTCTCCCATCCTCCTCCTCTGAACCACACCTCATAACACAAGGTGAACTGAATGACCTTGTCAGGGATTTGGAACTACCCAAGAGTAAGGCAGAGCTGTCAGGCTCCAGACTACAACAGTGGAATCTCCTGGCAGGTGATGTTAGGGTTTCCATGTTCCGTGACCGTCAAAAGGATCTTGTCCCTTTCTTCTTCATGGAAGGTGATCTTGTAGCCTGCAACAACATCGATGGTGTGATGGCAGCCCTCAACATCGTTCACGATCCAGATGAGTGGAGCCTGTTCACTGATTCATCGAAGACGAGTCTTAAAGCTGTTTTACTGCATAATGGCAATGTTTTGCCATCAATTCCAGTTGGTCATGCAGTCCATATGAAGGAAACCTATGACAACATGAAACTATGACCAACATCAGTGGCAGCTTTGTGGCGATTTGAAGGTTGTTGCTCTCTTGCTTGGTCTGCAGACTGGATACACAAAGTACTGCTGTTTTCTCTGCGAATGGGATAGTCGTGCAAGAGATTCCCACTACATCAAGAAAGATTGGCCACTCCGACAGTCATTGAAGCCTGGGAGGAAAAGTGTTCAGCATCCACCACTTGCTGAATCAAGGAAGATTTTGTTACCACCCTTACACATCAAGCTGGGTCTGATGAAGAACTTTGTCAAGGCCATTGACAAAACACAAGCAGCTTTCAAGTACCTCCGTGGAAAATTTCCACGGTTAAGTGAAGCTAAGATAAAGGAAGGTGTCTTTGTTGGTCCTCAGATTCGTGAACTTCTTCGAGATGATGCATTTGACCATGCACTGCGTGGCAAGGAAAAGACGGCATGGAAAGCCTTCCAGTTAGTGGCAATAAATTTTCTCGGAAACAACAAGGCAGCCAACTACAGGTTGCTGGTGGAAAACCTCCTCAAGGCATACAAAAGCCTTGGTTGCAACATGTCACTAAAGATATATTTTTTGCACTCTCATCTAGATTTTTTTCCACCGAACTGCGGAGCAGTGAGCAACGAGCACAGAGAGCGACTTCACCAGGACATTGCAACAATGGAGAAACGCTATCAGGGCAAATGGAGCCCATCAATGCTTGCACACTATTGCTGGACAGTGACAAGAGATGCTCCATTTAATGAATACAAGAGACAAGCCAAGAAGCACCGAGCAGACACTGAATAGGACTAAACTATGTACATAATAGTTTTTTGCCTTTTGTTTCATAATAAATTTTATTTATATAACCCTTTTGATGATTTATAAAGTGTTACATAAACAGGACAGGTGAAATATTATCATGTAAAGCAACCATAAACACATGAAAAGACCTAGGTTTACAATTTATGATTAAAACTCTACTATCTACACAATATACATCGACATAAAATGTAAAAACTTAAATATCTTAGAAACAGTAGCCAATCAGTTGTTTTAATTGTCATATTTGAATTCAGCACATCAAAATAAATAATAAATAGCACATTTTATCTCTGAAGCACACTACTTCTCAAAAATTGTAGACCAATGTTATTGTAATATAGGGCACTATACATTTACACAGTGCTTTACATAAACAGAAAGACACTTACAGTGCTAAAAAACAAGACATAGGATTGTTTTCAGGAGAGGATTATTAATGAAGATAAACGACTGCTTGAAAAGATGGGAAAGTTTAAAGTACGAAAGATCACAGATGGACAGATGTTTCATGATCATTGATTCATAAACTGGTTTGAAAGTTGCTTATTCCTTTTAGGAATATTTTTCAATTGTTTTTCTTCTGATTTATGTCTAATGTACCACTTCCGTCAAATGTCTACCCATTTGAAAATCCATCCTCAGTCCAATAAGATAAAATGACCAAAGATTTTAATCATTATATAGTAGCAGAAAATATACACTGCAACACCTTTCATAATTGTTAAACCAGGCATAATTTATTTTAAGATTGTGGCACACATTCGCTCTCTCTCTAGTGCTTGTAATACCCCTTATGTGCATGCATTGTGTCTATAATTACATGAGCACATATTGGTTTTCCACAGGACCCAGCTCATTCAGTGCACAGGATGGATGCACAAGGGGGCAGAATTAAGACTGCACAGGCCACCATAAAAATGGCACTTCCTAACTTTTGACTGTTTGCCTTTGCAAGCTAAACAATGTTCCTTTAACTTTGTTTTTATTCATATTTGGTTACACACACAGAAAGCACCTCCAAATAAACAATTAACTGGCTTTTTTTAAAGGGGGTGGGGCAACGTCAGCAAAAGACTGAAATTGGAGAGGAGTAAATCAGTTCAGGAGAAAAAAAGGAAAAGGCCTGAAGCTGAATCAGGTTAAGGTAAAACAAGCTAATTTCAGCCAACTCCAAGATTGACTCCGTTTTAGACACTTCCCAAATACTGGACACTCACTCCCTATACCAGTCCCTTCCCTGCATGAATTGGGTCTGGTAATCAGATCTAGTAATCTCTCTTTTCCAGGCCCTGATGCACAGCTCACTGCATGGTTGCCTGCATGCTTCGACTGTCCTGTTACTTGTGCTCAGACCTACACAGTGCACCTCTGACAAGTCATCTTGGGGTAGAAAACTTCCTACAGAGATTTGTGTGTGCATGTAGGTGTGAACATGCACAGCTGTTTGGTTGTTTAAAATGCCAAGCCTCTCAAATTATGTAAAGACTTAACAATTACATGCCCCCAAGTTACATCTGACACTAGAGAGGAGGGGAATGGGGGAACCCATCAGATGCCCTAAAAACAAAGAGGCGGAATAAGAAGGATCTCCAGAATTGGGAGACTGCCTGCCCCTAGTAAACAGACACAGCAAGCTTTGCCCACCCTTACTACCAAAGCCATGTTTAAACAGAAGCGCAGTGAAGACAGTTTGATTAGAGCTGATCGGAGGACGACAATTCTGTTTTGTGGAAACTTTCAAAAGGTGTTGTAGCTTATACTAGCAAAACGGCTCTTATACCAGTATAGTTACACTGGTTCCCCAAACTGACTTAGGCCTGGTCTACACTACAGAGTTAGGTTGAAGGAAGCTGCCTTAAGTCGACCTGTTAATGTATGTGTCTACACTACCGGGTCCTTTACGTCGACCTAAGTCGCCTCTGATGTCTACTTCTGTAATCCACCTCTGCAAGCGGCGTAGCACTTAGTTTCATTTTCATGGGCCAACTGCGAGGTAGTGCAGACGCAGCATTGTGTAATTTGACTTAATTGGCCTCCAGGTGGTGTCCCACAATGCTCATCTGTGACCGCTCTGGAGATCATTCTCAACTCTGCTGCACTGCAGCCAGGTACACAGGAAAAGCCCATCCCCTGCTAAAGCCCCATGAACTTTTGATTTCCCATTTCCTGGTTGATCAGCATTGAGAGTGTGCCAACTGGAGCACAGCTGATCATGGAGACTACACGCCCCAAACACGCTCCAGCCTGGTCTGCACAGGAGGTGGTGGATCTCATCGCTGTGTGGGGAGAGGAGTCTGTACAGGCAGAGCTCCAATCCAGCAGAAGAAACGCTGAC